AGAAAGAAAGAAAGAAAGAAAAAAGAAAAAAAATTCCAACTATCGAATCTAATNCGGCGATCGGGAATCGAAAAATCGCAAACGTACGCCTCGCTCGTAATCGCATCCATGCCCTCGTACCTTCGGTCGCGTTTCATACCTGTTCCAATCGATCGAAAGGCTAAATATTACCACTTGTTCGAGCTAAGAGTTAAAACCTGCGAGGGGCACCTCGATCACGATCAATGCGTGCAATTTGCATTCGCATTTTCCTCGCTTTCGTATCCGTCTTACAATGCCTCTGATTACTCCGACTCTTTGCGCACCGCCTCCACCGGCTAATTGCTAATTACTAAACGTTAATTACCGAGACCATCCTCCGCTCTCTGGTCTTGCACCGTGGTAACAGACAGGCCGAGTTCGGCCTGCCTTGTTAAACACATCGACGAAAATGAAATAGAGTAATGGAGTGTGTGTAAGAAGCTATCCGAGGCACGCGATCCGCGAGCAATAACCGTGGAGAATCGATCCGAATAGAGAGAGAGAGAGAGAGAGAGAGTTTAATTGCGATCGATCGCGGAAGAAGACCAAGAAGAAGAAGAGAAAGATTATTTTTTCTTTTCTTTTTACGTAAGCCGATTTCGTATAACTTGCTCGCAACGATACTTCCATATCGTGAGACGAATTAAATAACGATCGAAAAGGGGAAGGGGAGGGGAGATGCGAAATAGATAAGAGAAGGAAGGGATAAGGGAGGATGGAACGGTTCTCTGTAGAGAGGTAGAGAGAAGAGGTAACCGTGGCAGGTTTTGAGTTAGGTGTGCCACGAATTAATTATCGACGGTAATAGCCGGCTGGGCTATAGTTGGCTCTCGGTTTTTCTTTTCTTCGCGTCTGCTTCACGTCCCCCTTTCGCAGAGAGGTGAACGTTACTTTTTGCTTCGAGCTCCAGACGCGCTCAGCTTTCTTTCGTTTGCCCGTTAGTGCCGTTCAGCTTTTCAAACCGTATACTACGGCGAACGATGTCGCACAACTTCTTGGCACGACACCGGCCACTTTTACACGCTTCGCCATTTCAAGCCTGCCCGTTGTTGTGTCGCTGTTGAATAATTAACCGCTGATTCCCGAACAAACGATGCATGTACGAGTCGGGTGATTAGCATTAAGGGGAAAGGAGGAGAGAGAGAGAGAAAATCCGGCGAATTTTGCCCGATCGATCGAAAAATCGATACATTGCCGAGGTGAAAGTATATCTCGGGACGAGAGGCATCTCCAAGAATCTTCGTAAGGAGTCTTTCGTTATTATGCATGCGCCATTATTATTTCGACCGCCCTCTCTTCCGTTCGAATCACGTAGCCCACACGAAACGGTAAAAAACCGAGATCGTGTCGCGCCACGAATTCGGGTCGTGCGCGACTCGAGCGCCACGGTTTCGTCTGGAAAAGAAAAAAAAAAAAAAATCTAACCTCTTCGACAGACCGCCTTTCGACTCTTGGAATGTTTCGTTCTTCGAAACATTCGGCGGTCGTGTCTTTACGAGACGTAGCGAAATTTAATTATCGAATTTTTTATGCATTAGGGACCAGAGAGATGTTCAGATCTCTCATACGTGATTTTGAGAATATCGAGTTTAAAAAAAAAAAGAAAAAAGACAGGAGATTATCGATTTTTTATTTATCATTGATTCTCCGTTATAGATTAAGTTCGAAGAGAGTGAAATGAAAAGTGAATTCGAAAACGATCACTGTTGGATTACTACAGCCACGTTTAACGAACGGTTATATCTTTTGAACGCCAAACTATTTAGAAGCGATCGAGCATTAAAAGAGGCAGCGCTTCCTATCGGCTAGCTGGGTATATAGCGTTTCAAAAAAAGAACAGCACCTGGTCGGCTGGTCGGCCACTGGCCCCTACCTGGCCACTATTGAAAAAGGGCTATTAAAAATATCGAGCACGAAGACTCGACCTATCGGCCCGTGAAATCCTGTATTCAACGTGTGCTAAGGCGGTGTTCAAAAGCGGCGATCAATTATTCATTCTCCCTAAACGCACGACGAAACGTACGAAAAATTTAAGCGATACCATTGGAATTCCCCCAAACTCCCGCCAATTTTTCAAATACCTATATATTTTATACATTAAATTTAAAATCTTTTATATTTTTACAT